GGGCACCTTGGCGCTGCGCCGCACCGCCGCCGCCTTTATCTGCGCAAGGCGGCGGAACATGAACTCGGTGCTGGCCAGCATGGACACGCCCATCTGGTCGAACTGCACCCGCCAGCGGAGCACATCAGAGAGGGAGGAGTGCTCGCGCGCAGCGGCGCCGTTCACGTTGACGCCGGATTTCCGAGCCCACTCGTGGCGATGCGAGGTGAGCGACTGGCCCCAGGCCCGCAGGCTATGCAAGAAATCTACCGCCACGCGAGGCCCCGAAAGCGGGAAGTGCTCGATCTTCCCGTTCTCGAAGAGCGTGAGGGCGTCCTCCTCCGAGAGGTAGGGCACGCCGTGCCGGTCGCGCCGCAGGCCAGTCACGCGCGGGTCGCGGCCGAAGGCGGTGACCTTCTCCAGCCGCCAGGCCTCCTCCCGGCCGACCTCGACCGCCTCGGCGTGGACCCGCCGGCGGCCCACCAGCGCGAGAGCGCTGGCCTCGCGCGCCACGCAGAAGGCAGGGTCGGCCACCGCCGCCTCGGGCACCGCTGAGGCGAAGGCCTCGTGCGCGGGGTCGGCGACCCGCCAGACGGTGTCGGGGGCCGACGTGGCCGCAGCCGTGATCCCGTGCACGGCAGCCAGCATCTTCCCGCGGCACACGAACTCGGCGAGCTCCGCCGCCGAGATCGGGTCGAAGATGTAGCACTCATCGCAGTACGGCGGCGGAATGAGCTCGTTGCGGTCGAGCGGGAGGGCCCGGTGCTGCGAGAGGTCCAAGACCTGCACCGAGCCCGCGGGAGTCACGACCGTCCACAGCCCTTTGCCGTCCGTCTGCAGCAGGAGGCGGTGGTGCCAATAGAACCCGTTGGGGTCGTCGAAGTAGTCGATCAGCACCTGGGGGTTGGGCGCATCTAGCGCCCGCGGGGCGCGCGCGGCCGCAGCCGGCGCGCGCGCCATCGCGCGGGACTAGGGCCGCCTGCCAAGGCCAGCGGCGAGGCCAGCCTAGTGTAGGCGCCCGGGCGGAGGTGGGCCCCCGCCGGCGAGCGCGTCCGAGGACGCGGCTCGCAGCAGCCGCGGGTGACCACCCCGACTGCGAAGCCCACGAACAGCAGTAGCGCCGCCGGGCGCACCACGCAGGGGGCGGCAGCAGCGCGCACAGCGGCAGGGGCGCCGCCGCGCACTTGGACGCCGGGGCCGCCGGCGCCTGGACGGAGCTGAGGGCGCCCAGGCAGCGGTCCAGGGCCAGCTCCAGGCCGGGCGACTCGCCCACGCAGCGGGCCGCCTCGCCCGCTGGCACGCCGCCGACCTCACAGTGGCAGCGGCAATCAGGCGCCGGGAGGTCGAAGGCTCGGCCGAGGTGGGTAGCCCAGGTCGAGACAAGATTCGCGACGCCAAGCCAGCCTCCGAAGTCCATTCGGGAGGCCTGAACCCACATGACTGTAGATGATACCTGGCGTATCCACTGCCTCCCCTTTCCCTCTCCAGTGAGCAGGTAAACGCATCGAGATTCTCAAAAGCTCTGACATAAGACTGTTTCATGAATCCCTTGCCAAAAAAATGGGACGAAGTGCGCACTCGCGCGTCGTCGCGCGCGCATGCCGAAGTCCTTCAAAAACCTTCGGTGTCGGAAAGATTTCGCAAACGAGTTTCCAAAACAACAAGCAAACACACATGGTTTCGCAATACTGATTTGCTAAAACAGCTTACGCGCTAGCTCTTGCGAAATCTTAAAAAATCCATAGGTTGTTTTCAAGACTTTCACAACATGCTACCAAACGGGCTTCGCGCGCGCATGTCGAAATCTGTCGAACGCCCTTGCGCGTGTGCCGTCGCGGGAATCCTTTACAACAAATGGGACGAAGTGCAGACGCGCGCGTCGTCGCGCGCGTATGCCGAAATCCTTCAAAACCCACCGGCTTCGGAAGGATGTCAAAATCGTGTGTCCAAAAAACCTACAAAAACACAAGGTTTCGCAACACGGAGTTTCAACAAAAGCGTGCGCGCGCGCTCTTGCGTCGTCGTCGTCGTCGCCGTCTTCCCTCCTCCCGCGTCGTCGTCGTCGTCGCCTACGTCGTCCTCTGTCTTTCCTCGTGTTCGTCGTCGTCGTCCTCTTTGGCGTCGTGGTCGTTTCCGTCCTCGTTGTCGCCGTGGTCGTCCTTCCTCCTCTTCCCTCGTCGTCGTGGTCGTCGTCCGTCGTCGGCGTCTCGTCGTCGTCCCTCCTATTTCGTCGCCGTCGTCGTCGTCGTCGTCGTTGTCGTTGTCGTCGTCGTCTTCCTTCCTCCCTCGTCGTTGTCGTCGTCGGCGTCGCCGTCCTTCCCAGTTCTTCGTCGTTCGCGTCGTCGCCGTCCTCTCTCCTCCCTCGTCGTTGTCGTAGTTGTCGTCGTTGTCGCCGTCGTCGTCCTCCCTCCTCTCTCGTCGTCGTCGTCGTCGTCTTCGTTGGCGACGTCGTCGTCGTCTTCGTCATCGTCGGCGTCGGCGTCGTCGTCGTCTTCGTCGTCGACGTCGGCGTCGTCGTCGTCGCCGCCGTCCTCGTCGTCGTCGTCGTCGTCGTCGTCGGCGTCGTTGACGTCGTCGTCGTCGTCGTCGGTGCCGTCGTTGTCGTCGTCGTCGGCATCGTCATCGTCGTCGTTGTTGTCATCGTCGTCGTCGTCGTCGGCGTCGGCGTCGTCGTCGTCGTCGGTGTCGTCGTCGTCGCCGGCGTCGCCGAAGTCGTTGGAGACGTCGTCGGTGTCGTAATCGTTGTCGGCAGCGTCGTCGTCGTCGTCGTCGCTGTCGTCGTCGGCGTCGCTGTCGTTGCCAAGTGCCATGTGGTACCCACGGTCACGGTCTTAAGAGATTATGCAAACCAGGTTGCGGGTGGGCGGGCGGGATGATTGCGCGAGCAGTGGAGTTGACAACTTCAAGTTCGGCAAGTGGTTGCACCCCTTAGATTGTGCCACGTCGGTTGCACCGCAGAAGCTGCGCAACCCATACGTTGCACCACGTAGAGTGCACAGCATCGAACGCGCAGCACAGATATTCCTTTCCCCAGAAATAAGTTCTATCATTTTCCCCCCCCGGCCTTATCGATTCCCCGGGAACCGATGCAATACACATATGATTCTGACCCAATGTCCATCCGACCTCTGGGTTCGTACTATCCCAGCCGAACCAGTATCGGTCACCCCCTCGGTTCCTTTGCAACAAATACGATGCGCGCGCGCGCTCCTTTATACAAAATCATAGAATGTCAAAAACCCCTTGCAACAAATGGGACGAAATGCACACGCGCACGTCGTAGCGCGCTCATGCCGTAATCCTTCAAAAACCGTCCGTTTCGGAACGATGTCAAAATCGAGTGCCCGAAAAACATGTTTAAAACAAAGGAAGTGTTTCGCAAGACGGATGCTCCACAAAAGCGTGCGCGCGCCCTTGCGAATTAGTAAGACAACTATGTCTTTTCAGAGTCTCCATACAATGCTACCACATGGGCTTCGTGCGCGCGCATGTCGAAATCGTTCGGACGCCCTTGCGCGCGTGCCGGGGTGGCACGATCCGTGTCAAATAATAAAATGCGAGCCGCTCTCGCGCGTCTGCCGCGCGCGCACTTCGAATTCTTTCCAAAACCTCCATCACCGACGCGCAGACGCCGTCATCGTCGTCGGCGTGATCAGCATCGGCGCCGTCACTGGCTGCCCCGTCGTCGCTGTCAGCATCGCCACCAGCATCGCTACTATCATCATCCTGTCTAATGTTGTCGGCGTGGCCATGATACCGCGCCCGCCAAAGCCGCCGACTCGCACTGAAGTGCCCGCTGGGATGTGCCGAGCGGTCAGCGCCACCGCGTTCGCGTCGGTCGCGCCAAACTAGCAGGCCGCTGCGCGCGCATGCGGGGGCTAGCGCGGCCGCAGAGATGCACCAGCCAACACCCAGCACTCATCGCAATCGCTCCCACATGGGTTCTGCAAACCAAGTCGCGGGTGGGTGGGTGGGACGACTGCGCGAGCAGTGGAGTTGACAACTTCAAGTTTGGCAACTGAATTGCACAACTTAGATTGCACCATCAATCTCCCACAACATACATCGCTCCACACATATATTGCAAACCGTATTTTGCTAGAAACAGATTGCGCGGGGGCTCCACGCTGGCTCACAAATCAAAACGTCGACCGCCAGATATCTCGACCTGTCCCCCGGGACTGGTTTCTCATACACATTGATTTTTACGGCCCCGAGGCCCACTAAGGGCCCCAGAGGCAGAAACAACGAACAACCTCCGCTCGCGATTCTTTCCTGGCCCGACGGGGTGTGGGAACCCTCCCACCTGGAGGCTGCGGCGCGACCCCGCCCACAGCGGCGCCCCATCAGGGCCGACCTGCCGGAGGCTCTACGGGAGTTCGACCACAACAAACCTTCCACAAGAAACCGAAACCTGAGACCCCAGGACGTCCAGTGATTTTTGGTGTGGGAACGTCGCGACTTCCATCGCAAAACCATCAATCCCCAAGAAACCCATGGTACCCTGGAGGCAAGCAGGGTGCTTCTCGGCATGGGTTTCCATTGTAGACCCTGCCTTTATGCACCATTTCTGGAGCCAAATCGACCTGTGAGGGCTCCGGGGTCCGTCGCAAGGCGGAGGTTGGGGTCAGACCCTCCCAGATCAACAAAACACGGCAAAAGCATATCGGTTCTTGCAGTAGGAAGGCGCCTGAAGTACATTTGGCTCTAAAAACCCCAAAGCACCTGCTTCCAAGGACTGGCGCGCACACGCAGGAGTAACCGTATGCAAGAGTGACCTCTGATGCGCAGCTTCAAGGGGGGCGCGACGGGGTCAAAACCCAGCGCGCAAGCTGCTGCTATCGCATCGCGCTCAGCGACCCCGTTGGGCCCGCACCGAAGGTCAACCCGGCGAAGGGCCGCCCTGACGTGCAGTCGACTCAGGGCCCACAGATGCACCCCGCAGGGCCGACTGGCCCTTCCTCGCGCGCGGGTCCGGGTGCGGCGTGCCCGCCGGCGGGGTCTTGAGGGCGCAGGGGCTCCTCGAGCTGCACGGGCATCGGCTCCTCCAGCGGCCCCGCCTCGGGCGGCGAGGCGGACGCAGGCGCCGCCTCGGCCGCCGCTGCGGCCGCTGCCGGGGCGTCGGGCGCCTGGCGCAGACCGCGGGAACCGAACAAGCAGAGGCAAAGATGCCTGCTTGCATGCAGGCCGCGCGAAGACGCCGGCAGGCGGCGGCAGTGGTGGCCGCCAGGTTCCAGCGAGGCCGTCGGCCTGCGCAGCGGCGGCAGCACGAGCGACAGCAGCACGGCGAACTGCTCTCTTCGCTCTGGGGCACTCTCCGTACGAACAATTCGCTCTATGGCATCTCGCTCTACGGCACCTCGCTCGATGGCTCTTCGCTCGATGGCTCTTCGCTCCACGGCCCTCTATGCTCAGCCTGGGAACGAACAATTCGGGCCCGCGGCTCAGAAGACGCCCTCTGGGGGGGTTCGGGGGCTGAAGCTCGGCTCCCCACGGACACTTACGACCCCCTGTTGTAAGCGCGCCGCGCAAAATCAGGAGCAGCATGAGGACGACACGGGGAAGGCACCGCCAGAGAGCTCTCCAAGCTGCAATCTCTCCCTTCTATATTCTCCATGGGAGCTCCACCCCTGACGCTCGATCGACCGATCGGCCGAGGAGGCGGGAGGGAGGTGGAGGAGCAGCAGAGCAGAGAGAAGGAAAGACATCAGAGGAGGGGCGGCCGACTCGGCCGCCCCGCTCGGGACGCAACGCCAGGCCGACCGGCACCACCTCTCGCCTCCTCCTCCTTCTCCTCCTCCTCCTCCTCCTCCTCCTCCCCCTCCTCCTCCCCAAGTGCCTCGGAGCTCAGCAAGGGTGCTCGTGCCTCGGTCCGGCGACGGCCCTCTGCCCTGCCCGACAGCCACTGCGCCATTCTCAACGCGCGCGGCAGGTCCGTGTCGTGACGGCATCAGCGTTGGTTTCTGACACCGCGTGGATCGCTCAACCTTCAACGATCGGTGGCTTTCCGATCGCCAAATCTCGGCGGCGAGCGAGGAAGTGAGAAAGAGAAGGCCTTCTCAGAAGGCAGCGTGACTTCTCAGACGCCCTCGCGCCTTCTGAGACACTTTCTGTGCCTTCGGGGAAGCCTTAGAGAACTTCTCAGAAGGCCAGGGAACTTCCGAGCCTTCTGAGAAGGCCCGCCCCTGCTCACTCCCCCCCCTTTGCTCGCCGCCGATGCAGGATCGGTGGCTGTCCGATCGCCAAATCGTTCCACATTGGACGATGATGGGCCACCAGCGGCGTTCAGCCTTGAGTCGCCTGCGCTGCGTCGCCGCCCCGCCGACACGGCACTGACGTATATATCGCATCCATGCCGAGGCGCAGACGGACAGACGGGCCGAACGACCCAGGCGCCGCGGGGTGGACAGACAGAACTGCCCCCCGCCTCCGGGGCCACACCTGGCGTGGCCTCCTCGCCGGGCTGGGCGACGAGCGGTGGCGTTCCCACGCCAGCCACGACCTGGCCCCTTCCAGCCCCTGCTCCATTCCCGTGCTCACAGCTCGACACACACACACGTCGCCCCGACTTCAATGCAGCCGATCTCACCAAAGTGCCCACCGTCCACTGAGGTACTGAGAGCAAGAAAATCTGATTCAAAATGGAGCGACACACCTCTCCATTCGCAGAGCCTGAAACGATCGCCGTGCTGGCCGAATTTTCCTGCCACAGCTGACAGTACGAGGCTGCGCGGTTGACACTGTGGAACACTGAAGACTAGGCCGCTGCTACAAATGGCGCGTAAGCGTGATCTTCGTCGCGGCCAGCGCTGCGTCTCTTAGAGCCAGGCCCTCCCTCCCTCCCTCCCTGCCCCTGCCTCCCTCCCAAACTCCACCGTCGTCGTGAGGTCACCGTGTTGTGGCCGCCGCCGTCGTCGTTGCCTTCGTCCTCCTCGCTCTCCTCCTCGCCTCTCGTTCCCGCTCCTCCTCATCTGATCCCATATCCTCTACTCCCTCGGTCGCCATTCTCCCCTTCTTCCTCTTTCTCCTCCTCCTCATTCGTTTCCCCTCCACCTACTTTCTCATTATCCTCCTCCTCCGCCTGCTTCTTGCCCTCGCAAATTTCCTCCTCCTCCTCCTCATGCTGGTCCGCCTCCTCCTCCTTCCTCTCTCCTCCTATCGGCGGAATTTTTCTTTTGGCCGCAAGTAGTTATCTGAGGACGCTGGGGACCGACAGCGGCCACGGGATGCCAAGTTCGATGAAAAGGACACATCGTGCTTTCACTGTTCGGCTCGTGGAGATACTAATATATGCCCCTGGGCCCGCTCCAGGATGCGTCCAGCATCGGTCACGGTACCGCCCCCCCCCCAAGTGGCAAGATAACGTAACGTCTCTCCCTTCCCCCCTCCGCCTTATCTATCCTCATCCTCCCTGATCCCCTCAAACCACGAGGCAAAGAAACGTAACAAAAACGCCCCCCCTCATCTCCTCCTCGTTCCTCCTCCCCCTCCCGCCCCCCCCCAAAAAAAAAATCAAGCCATACACCTCTTTGGGGGCGCACCTTCACCAACAAAAACCTCGAGGCGAAGCTTCGACACAAACCTCGACACTCAATGATTACACTCGACATGTGCCACTGCTCGGCTCTCAACGTGCCACTGATCGACGCGTGCCAGAGCGCGGATCCCAGCCGCCCTCGCCCATGTCAGGCGCGCCGCCGCCGCCTTCGACGTCGTCGCCTTCGACGTCGGGCGCGTGGCCGTCGCCGCACCCGTCGTCGTCGTCGTCACCGTCGTCGCCGTCGTCTCCGTCGCCGTGCCCATTGCCGTCGACATCGTCGTCGTCGTCGTCGTCGTAATTCTGCTTCGCTGTCGTCTGTCGTCGTCGTCTTCGTCGTCGTCGCTCTTATTCGTTGCCGTCGTCGCCGCCCTCGCCGCCCTCGCCGCCCTCGCCGTCGCCGTTGCCGCCGCCGCCGCCGTCGCCGTCGCCGTCGCGTCGCCGTCGCCGTCGCCGTCGCCGTCGCCGTCGCCGCCGTCGTCGTCGTCGTCGTCGCCGTCGTCGTCGTCGTCGTCGTCGTCGTCGTCGCCGTCGTCGTCGGCGGCGCTGTCGTCGTCGTCGTCGGCGCCCGCCGCCCGCCTCCCCCGAAGGCCTCCGCGGGCGGCGCGGCGGGGCCATGGCGCTCCTCCAGCGCCGGGGGGCCCTGGCCGGCGGCGGCCAGGGCGAAGGCGGGGAGCCCGGGCTTCCCCTGCGGCGGCGGGCCCGTGGCCCCCACGCGTCGCGTCGTCGTCGTCGTCGTCGCGGCCTTCTGTTGCCATCCACGGGAGCCTCGTCGTCGTCGTCGTCGTCGTCGTCGTCGTCGTCGTCGTCGTCGTCGTCGTCGTCGTCGTCGTCTGTCGTCGCTCTTGATCGTTGTCACCGTCGCCGTCGCCCCCGCCGTCGCCACCGCCGTCGCCCCTCCGCCCTCGCCGTCGCCCTCGCCGTCGCCGTCGCCGTCGCCGCCGTCGCCGCCGCCCTCGTCGTCGCCGTCGCCGTCGCCGCTGTCGCCGCCGCCCTCGTCCTCGCCGTCGCCGTCGCCGTCGCCGTCGACGTCGCTGTCGCCGTCGCCGTCGCCGTCGCCGTCGCCGTCGCCGTCGCCGTCGCCATCGTCGTCGTCGTCGTCGTCGTCGTCGCGGATGTCTGCGGTTCTGGCCCAGGCCGCGACGCACGAATCGCGATTACCTTCGCGTCCCAGGGGCGGCCTGCGGCTCAAAGCTCTTGGTCAGGTGTCGCGGCGGTGGCCCAGGCGACGCGCTGTGCCCTGCAAGCAAATAGCGCGTCGCGGAGCGGGGCGGGGGAACTGGGAAAGTTCCACGGCAACTGCTGGGAGCCTCCCGTACCATCTTGTTGGCTCTCGAGTTGGCGCGAATCGACGCCGAGTTGGCGCGACCTCGACGCTGATCGACGCTAGTCGACGCTGAAGCGGCGCTGTCCCATGGATCACCAGACGCCAATCGGCGCCAGTACACCCTACAGAAGGAATGACGAAGGTACACAAGGCTCCCATGCTTTGCTGCCGAAGCCGTCGCCGCTGTCGCCGCCTGCGCGAGCGGGGCCCCGCCGCGTCGCGATGTCATCGTAACCCGGCGGCGAAAAGAAGAGGGTCTTACGCGAGAGGGCATAGCGATCTTACGCAGCGGCTTACGCGGGCCGCCAGCGCGACACGCCGCATGGGAAGCGAGGGCGCTCACGCGCAACCTTACTCGGGCAATTTACGCGCCAACGTTGGCGGAGACGAGCCCGTCATTCTGCGTCGCTCAACTGAGCATCGGTACGCCGCTCCATCCCCGCTGGCACGGCCTGGGCCCCACTGGCCACTCCACCCCGCCTGGATGGGGATGTAGGCTGCTCCCTTCGGGCTTCGAGGAGGAGGAGGAGGAGGAGGAGGAGGAGGAGGAGGAGGAGGAGGAGGAGGGATGGGGATAGGGGATGGGGATTGGGATGGGGATGGGTTAAACAATACTGACCGACGGGGAGCTTTTGGGGGCAAATCTCGGCCCCCGGGGGCCCTCACCTTGCCCCTGGGAAAGTCGCGGGCAAGGGCCCAACCGGGCCTCTGAGAAGCCCAAGCTGCGAAGACCACACGACGCCAGGGTCTGAGGGGAAGAGCTTCTGACAGCAGCCACGCCTTTGACCGTTCTCTTGGTCAAACTTGATGAGCAAAAACCTTAGTGTGATAACACAGGTCAAGTGGGATAACCAAAAAACTTCGCTCAAGCGTGATAACAGCAAGCGCTGCTCAACTGCTATCACGCGTGAGTCGAGCATCGTTGTCTGTTGTACTTGATCCGAGCAATTGTTGTATCACACTTGAGCGGATTTGTTTACACTTCTCCTGGTCGAACTTGTTTTGCATGTGGGCGCGGGAGCAAAACTTGGGCGTCGCGTCAGCAATGCTCGCAGAGGCGACAACGGAAAACGACAGGGTTTGGGGGCCCCTCCAGGCCCTAAACTCTGGCCAAACTCTACGTGCTCCCCCGAAACCCCGACCGCAACATCTGCAACTTGAAAAGGATCGGCCAACATTCCGGCGCACTCGTGTTCCGAACCCCACCTACCTCCGTCTCAGCCTCAGCTGCCCCGATATGCAGCACTCAACTCGTAGCGTGTTGACACCGAGCTCAACAAGTATGTTCAAAACGTAGGTCTGGCGCAACACAGCCGCCAGAACGTGGGCCAACACTGCGAGGCGAGGATACACTCATATCCCCCCCCTGGAGCCGACGCACTGTGACCCCACTGGGTTCTGAACATGGATATATTTCGCTCCTGGCCCCCCCGAAAAAATATCCACATCAACCGACTGCTCCGCCTGCCGAGCTGCCCGAAGATCGAAGCCCCAGGCGGTGGTTAACCTCACAAGGTTTTCAACATCTCCCCATGGCCCATGGTGAAATCATTATTTTGCCCGGGTGCTCAATGAAGGATTGGGACAATCAACACGCCCGAAACAAATCAACTATTCCATCCCCGCCGCCGCCTTCGTCGTCGTAGTCGCCGCCGTCGTCTCCGTCGTCGTCCGACGTCGTCGTACGACGAGTGTGACTACGGATACCAAAACTACAACGACAACGACGACAAAGACGACGACGACGACGATGACGACTCCTGCTGCTGCTGCGCCGACGATAAGTACTACGAATGCTACGACGGGAAACGTACGGACTTGTACTGCAAACCTTGTACGAGCAGGCTCGGACATTTATCTATCGTGTATGGTGGTCCAGGGAGTGATATCCGCCAGGGGAATGAACCACTCAACGAAGACCAGCACGGCCAACAATAGTGGGGAAACAACTCGACCGCCGACCCCCGCACCCAATTGCCAAGCCAGCGTTTCTGAGGGGGGCACGCGCAACATTGAATTACGCAGTGAGGCTCTGGATGAATCCCCGCCTCAGAAGCCCGTGCCGAGCCAACACGCAGCGTGCTCAACCCGGACGACGTGAACACGGCGCGTGTTGCTTTTTTCAACGCGGGCGTACCAGGGCAACTGACCAGGACCCCCGACGTCATCCCTCGAAGTCTCGACCCCTTCCCCAGGAACGGTCTCTCCTCCCGAGTCGTGTGATGGACGGTCCCGAGGCGCCAGGAAGGGCCTGCAGAGGCCGAAGCTAGCGAAACATCCTCTCTGGATGGGGCAAGGATCGTCCCCCCCCTGAATCCGCTGCTGCTGGGGGGGAGGGGACACGTGCTATCGGAACGGGCGGAGGGAGGGGAGGAACAAGAGGAAGAGGAGGAGGGGGAGGAGAATGGAGGCGGGCGGGATTGGGCAAGCTCAGTCGAGAGATTCATCGCCCCCCCTCCCTTTGAGAAATACCACATCCAGAGTTCCGTCGTGACCTTTCCGTGGCTCGAGGGGGCCTGGGCCTCTCCCTGCCCTCCCCTCCACATGTCAGCTTCAACCGCCCAGGGCCATGGCAGTCGACAGAAAAACCACGCCTCAGGGCGGGAATCTTGTACACCAGACCCACGACCAGGACCCTCGCCCGCCCCCCCTGGGACCCTGGGCATAGCACAGTTGCTAAAATGCTGCGGGCGGACCCTGCGCCCACGGCAGGCGATGTCCAAGGCGGGGCGCATGGTGCCCAGAGAGGAGCCTCCAGAGAGAGAGAGAGAGAGAGAGAGAGAGCGACGGCGAGCGGCGCCCCGCCTCGCGGCGGTAGGCGTCCATCCGCTTGCGCAGGGCCTTGCCGTCCTCCAGGAGCATGTGCCCGCACAGCCCCTGGAAGCTCGCCTCCCAGAAGGCCGCGTCCGCCGACAT